CCTATTTCTCACTCTGCACAGGACACAAATCTAAATAGACCAAAGACTTAGAAATTAGACCAGAAACTTGACAACTGATAGAAGAAAACACAGGCCAACAGACCATTACGTAAGTGCTGACACCCACTTCCTTAAGACCCCCAAACACAAGACACAAAACCAATAATCAATAAGTGGAATGCCAAAAACTAAAAAGCTTCTGCACAGCAAAGGAAACTATTAAAAGTATGAAAAGAGAGCCTACAGAATGGGGGAAAATCTTGGCCAGTTACTCCTCCGATAGGGGATTAATATCCAGGATATACAAAAAAATAAAAAAAAAACTTAACACCAAACAACAAATAACCCAAATGACTGACAAATATATGAAAAAAATTTCAACGTTTCTAGCAATTAGGGAAATGAACAACAAAACTACATCGAGGGCTAGGGTTGTGGTTCAGTGGCAGAGGGCTTGCATAGCTTGTGTGAGTCACTGGGTTTGATTCTCAACACCATTTATAAATAAATAAAGGTCCATTGACAACTAAAAAATTATTTTATGTTGAGATTTCATCTCTAGTAAGAATGGCAATGATTGAGAATACAAATGACAATAAATGCTAGTGAGGTTATGGGGAAAGCAATGTGTACATTGCTCGTGGGATTACAGACTAGTACAACCACTTTTGGAAGCAGTATGGAGATTCTTCAAAAGACTAGCCATAAAACCATCACATGATTCAGCTTTCACACTTCTCAGTATTTTCCCCAAAGGCCTGAAATTGGCATATTACAGCAATACAGCCATTTCAATGTTTATAGCAGCATGATTCACAATAACTAAATTATGGAATCAACCTAGCTGCTCATCAATAGATGCAGGAATTAAAAAAATTGTGGTACATATATACAATGGAGTTCTACTCAGCCAGAAAAAGAATTAAATAATGGCCCTTGCCTGTAAGTGGATGGAAGTGGAGAATATTAAGCTAAGTGAAATTAGCCAAACTCAGAAACTCAAAGGTTGAATATTTTCCCTCATGTGCAGCAGGTGGAGTAAAATAAAGGAAAGGGGATGGAAAGGGTAGGTAACATGAAGAACCAATCATATATAAATTAATAGATGAGTGAAAAGGAGTCTAGTAGAGTAGAGGAAGGAGAATGGGAGAGGGGAGGGAAAAGGGGGAGGGAAACGTGGGGGATCATGAATTGAAATAGATTTCCATGCACATATGTGTTTGTCAGGATGAATCCAACTACTATGTATCACTATAAAGCTATAATAATAATAATGATGACGACGATGATGATGATGATGATTTAAAAAGAAGTGTTGTCACAAAACTAGTGAATATAATTGTTTTCATCTGACAGTGGGAATGAAGAAGGGATATGGAAATGATGAGTCTTTAGGACAAGTATGAGGTTTCTTAGGTAAGGTCATATAGGCAAAAGCTGAGAAGTCAACCAAGAAGGAAAGATGGAAGATGGAAGAGAAGATAACTGTTGGAGGAGCACAGTACCAGGAGGAAGGAGGGCTTGGGTCAAAAGCACTGGTGAGGGATTCTTCTTAGATTTATTGGGGGGAGGATGAGAAGGAAGAGGAAGGGTATCCCTAGATGTTGAAGTAGGAGGAGAATCAACTCAGATCAGAGAGAAAAATATCTCCGTGAAAGGGGAAGTAAAATCATCTGCTATGAGTGGGGAGCGAGGCAGGGTTAAAGAGAACGGAAGAGAGGTGGGAAGTGGAATGATAGGTCAGTTGAATGAAAGTAGATATGAGTATCAGTATGCTCAACAAAGAATAGATTTGGGATGGATCCAGTCCAAATGACATCAAGTTTTCTTTGTAACAATTGGAAACCATTCCTGAAGCCTAGGGACTGGCATGGTGAAACAGAAGTTCAAGGTGTCAAGGCATCCTGGGGGGGTGGTGAGTATGTGAAATGGCTAATCAAATGTCAAGTCCAACAGACATGAGATGAAGGGAGAACTCAGAGCCAGTGGCAGTAAAAATAAGAAGAAATTTTAAGGGTTGCAAGCAGTTGGGAAGGGAGGAAGGGCAGGGGAGGATGGTTAGAGAGGATATCTGGGGGACTGGCATCTGCATGTGGAGCCACACTGAGGGATAAGCAAGTCTGTATTGTGGGGCTTTTTTTTTTTTTTCTTTTTGGTACTGGGGATCGAACCCAGGGGCACTTTGTCACCAACCCACATCCCCAGACACTTTTATTTTTTTTAATTTTTAATTTTATTTAAAAATTTTTATTTGGGCTTGGGTTGTGGCTCAACGGTAGAACGCTTACCTAGCAAGTGCGAGGCCTTGGGTTTGATCCTCAGCACCACATTAAAAATAAATAAATAAAATAAAGATATTGTGTCCAACTACAACTAAAAAAATAAATATTTTTTTAAAAATTTATTTTCTTTTTAAATTTTATTTTGAATTGTTTAGGGCCTTGCTAAATTGGTAACACTGTCTTTGAACTTGTGATCTTCCTGCCTCAACCTCTAGAGTCACTGGGATTACAGATGTGTGCCACCAACCTGGCTACTGTGGACTCTTTCTAAGTGACAGAGGTGAGTTGCTGATGTCTGGCACTGGAAGAGATCAGAATTTGTAATGTGATTCTTAGACTTATACACTTCTGTTCAAATTCAACTAGTTTTTCCACAAGTAAATATTGCTGCCAGAAATGTATTTCATTTTATTAATTTATTAATTATTTTTACATTTACTGACTTATTATAAAGGATGTGGATAAAGAATTGCACAAGGTAAGGTGTAGGAGAAAGGGAGTAAAGCTTCTATGTAGAAGATAGATAGATACATAGATTGATTTTTTTTTTAAAGCTATAAAGGGGGCTGGGGATATAGCTCAGTTGGTAGAGTGCTTGCCTTGCATGCACAAGGCCATGGGTTCAATCCTCAGCACCAAACCAAACAAAAAAGCAATAAAGCACCTGGGCCTGTAATCCCTGAGACTCAGGAGGCTGAGGCAGAAGGATGGCAAGTTACCTAGAGAAATGTCTTAAAAATAAATAGGACTGGGGATTTAGCTAAGGGGTGAACTGCCCCTGGGTTCAATCCCCAGTGCAAGAGGGAAAAAAAAAAAAAAAGCAAAACAAAGTTGTAACTTTCAAAGAGATAAAATAGAGACATTCGGTCTCACATCTAGGTAAGTCAAGAGTTTAAGAACTCACTATTTGTTCTGCTGAACTAGATCAAAAGTTGATAGACATTTTATAGGTCTCTGGAATCAAAAGAAAAAGAACATATGAGTCCAGAATATCATCATCAGCAAGTATAGCTGGTGTACCCAATGCTGATGGTGGGGACGAGAAGAGAGAATAGCTGGCGGAGAAGCTGCCAAGGCGGGTGATGACAGGGAGTTGGTAGAGAAACTCCGGAAGGATGCAAAAAAGAAAAACGAGGAAGTGACTAACCTGAACACCAAAAAGGAAGCACACAAGCATGGTCCCAATTCAGCCTTCAGCCAG